GTGACGGAGCCCTGGAACAGGCTGCCCAGGGAGGTTGTGGAGTCTCCTTCTCTGGAGATATTCAAGACCCGCCTGGACAAGGTCCTGTGCAGCCTGCTGTAGGTGACCCTGCTTCGGCAGGAGGGTTGGACTAGATGACCCACAGAGGTCCCTTCCAACCCCTACTATTCTGTGATTCTGTGATTTTTGAAGATGACAGAATGTACCTTCAGATAATTTTAGAAGTCAAACATCCGTACAGAGTTTGTTGATCTGAGGTGAGTTTTTATATCGAACTGCATTCACATCAAATTTGCTTACGAAAGCTTTGTTCACCACCGACGCATTGGGAGGGCAAGCAGAGGTAGCTTAATTGCGGTTTCTTCACAGCATTTTTCCCCTTGCCTTTTTTCCCTCCATTACCCGTCTCAAAACATTGCCATGCTTTTTTAAGACAACACTTCTCTTTCTTGGAAAGTCAGTTAGCAAGGTTTTGATTGCAAAAACCATGTTTTCAAAGTTAGAGAAAAATACATTTTTTTATCCCTGATTATGAATGAGGCCTGCCAAACTGGTTAAATACAGATGGTATAACTTCGTCTAAGTCACCAGGTTGATTCACTTCTCATCCAAATTGTAATTTAGCCTTAGGGTTCAAGCAAATGATTGTTTTAAGAGTGATGCAGTGTTATGAACATGGCACTAGATGGCCTTTGACGGATCGGGGTTAGAAACAGCCTCAAACTAACACTGCAGAGAAAAATACATGATTTACAACTTGTGTTTACGTTGTAGAATCACTTCCTGAGCCTAGGTGACTTTGTTAATTTTTAATTGCCTGACTGCTGTGTCCTTTCCTTCTGGCATTTCTGATGTTTCAGTGGGAAATTCTTTAAACAGTTCAGCAGAGATGGCTGCAAATGTTTTAGTATTTAGTTGTGCTTGCCACAGAAAATGCCTAAATATTCAATTCTATTGCTTTCACATCTGACAGCATAAAGAGGGATTACAAGAATTTTTCCATTAGATTCATCTTCTGAGCAGAGAAAAAATGGTCTGAAAGAAGCAGTGGCTAGGGAAAACCATGGCTCCAACCTCCTCCATTTTTGTACTGAGCTGCAGTGGGATACCGCTAGTGAAGGCCATCTGCCATTTTCAGAACTCTGCATTGGTGGTCAGTGTGTGTGAAAACTGGCCACTGAATGAGATGAGATGATGAACTAGGGGCTTACCTTAGGGAGTCTGTACTTTTCTCTCAGATGAACCCTCAGACAGGCTCGCTCTGCTTTTTTCTGTGCAAACGCAGCATCTCTTTCCATCCTGGAAGTGAGAAACAGCATTTCTTCAAGATACTAATAAAATACAGGGTTTTCTTTGCACTGAATCAGTTGCTCAGCTGCAAAAAGCTACACGCAGGAGTTATTCCCAAAGTTAGGTAACTTGTCCAAAGGCTCAAAAGGAGCGGTATCAGCAACATGATGCTCAGGGCCCAGGCTTCCTGTACCCCAAGCTTGTTCTCAGAACAGTTCCTGGAGTCCTGTGAAGAATGAAGGATAAGCCAATAGTACTCGTCTGGAGTTTGTACCTGTACAAGCTGTTATTGCTCACTATAACAACGAACAACTCCAGTAAGCAGAAGTTACGCGTGTTCCTTGCTTATTGCATTGGGGTACTCACACAGCTGCCTGCAAATGCTCCTGGCCCACAAACACGGCATTCTCGCAGTCTGACAGCACACACACAGTGGCAGAATGGTCCTTCTGGGCCAGACAAAGTCCGCTTATCCCAGAGTCCCACCTCCAACAGCAGACAGTAGTGGACACTTTGAGAAGGGATTTAAAGAGAGGATAAGCATTCTGTATCAAAACTCTCCAGCTTCCAAACATCCATGGTGTAGGGTACTGGAGCTAGAAATCAGCTCTACATCATTGTCTTTAATAGCCGTGGGTGGCCTCTGCCACCTATGAATTTTCCTGGTATTTTCCACATCCATTTATTGTTTCAGAACATCCTACGGCAATGAATTCTACAGCTTCCCTGTGTGGAAAAGCACTTCTTCTATCTGCCATTTTATAAAATGCTTTCATTACATTCTGCACAATTTTTGGTTAGATTACTTATGTATTTATTTGCAAAACGTGTCCCCTCAAATATTTTTGGTAAAATAAGGGGGGTGGGGTGTGTGACATTAACTGGAAACCATCTTAAGCTTCTTTCAGCTTCTCCTCTCTTCATTGATGGGCAGATTGGTTAGAAAGAGATTTTTTGAGCCCTTCTGGCATATTTTCCCTCTCTTTCTCAGCCTTCCTCTTCTGTTGCCCACTCCTCATCCAAAGAAGCCATCATCAGCCATGGCTACTACTGGGCTACGTTCCCACGGACAGCGCGTGCAGCATTACTACACGTCCCTGTAGGTGTTCAGTGAGGCTGAGGGGCAGGAGTGGATTTTCTGCTCGGGTGGATTTGAGCTTTTCACTTGTCCTGGCATCATGGGAAGACCTGACAAAACTCACTCAGCCAATCTCCCACCACTGCCTGGGCCCTAGCGTCTGGCCTAATCTTACACTGTTTTGTTCTGGAGGATCTAATTATTCCCTGAGCATGAAGCTTTGTAGGAAACAGGCATAAGAGCAGTTGCGTGACAGTTGAGAGCCTGTGATGTACAGCACAAACTGGTGGTCCCCTCTTGCTTAAACTCTTGTGATGCTGGGAGGAAATTCTACGTGACTCTGCTGGCAACTGCCAGCACAAGCCACCTGTTTGTTTCCGCATATTAAACATTTTCCTGAGAAACACCAATCTGTGCATTTTTGTGTGTTTAATCACAAAAAAACAAAACAAAAAACCCCAAACTCAAAACCTCAGAAGAACCCAAAGCCAGGATGGTCATGCATCAAAGGCCAAGCTCTCTCTGAGTATGGCTCCAGCAAGCCACTTCTACTGCTCAGATCTCCACTCTTGTAGAGCTGAAAACTGGGTAGAATCCAGAGAGCCCCGAAACAGATGCTCTGCCCATGCCAGAGATTTCTGACACACATTTACATAATGACACCACTGTGCATTGTCCTAATTTTTTCTCTTTGAAAGTACTTAAAATGTTGCTGTTATAGTTCCAAACTGTACTTTCATAAGTACTCCTGCAATACAGTTCAGCATGTGACGGACACATGCCACACTTGGAAACATTCTAGAAATTATTCTTTTTCCAAGCATTTTCCCTATCCCAGGAAACCCATTTTCCTTCTCTGTCTCAGTAAAGCATCTTCCAGACAGCAGGTGCTGGTTTCGCTTTTAAATAGCCCTTGACAAAATGCATAGCAAAGCATTCTGTATTTTATTCCAAACCAAATGATACCTATTCAAGGTTTTGTGATAGAAATGGCTGCTGCTAAATACAGACCTGGATACCTCAAATTCCGTCAGTCATTAACCTTTCACCTATAATCATCTTACATCAAGGATTTACACAACCATTATGTAATTGACCATTAGAAGAACAGATGCATCTGAGATTTAAAAGTCAATTGTTATATTTACAATTATGCAGGATTTTAATTCCTACATGTTAAGTCCTTTATTTTACTTCTCTTTTGATATTTAAACACAGCAAGTGGTAAAGATTATAATTACAATTGAGATTTAGTAAGTTGAAAAGTTCTGCTTTATTTAGTATTTGAAAAAATTACTGCAAATGCAACTACAAAAAATAACCACCTTAAAACTTTTCTCTAAATAAATATCATCCATTTAACATAGCACTCTTTTTCATGTCTGCCATAATAAATGTGGACAAAGAAAAGATTATTGTATTGAAAGTATATTCCACATGCAGTTCCAGGAGAACAAATCAAACACCTTTTAGAATTAACTCCTGTGCTACAAACAGCTCTGTACCTACAGAAAAATTTGACAGATAAAGTAACATCAACTAGGAATGAATCCAGCATATCAAAGTGTGGAGACAGCAGGAGAGTGTAGGAGAGAACTGCGGAACTGGGGAGGGGGGGGAACACGGTATTTTATCATTTCTAATTGGTGAACTTGTATTTTGGAAGGTCTCTTTAGCAAACATTCTTCTGCTTAAAAAAAGGGAAGAGAGCTGAATGTCTGTCTTTTTCTTGGGCTATTTTTATCTGCACAAAAGTTACCAAGAATCAGCCCCATATGGATAATAAGGGAACAGGTACTCACTTCTCCTCAACCACTTGCTTTTGATATTCCTCATACTCCTCTCTGGTCATTCCTGCAGCTGCTGCTGGATCAGAAGGAGTGCTTTCTTCTTTGCTTTCTTCCCCTCCACCTCCAAGTCCCAAATTCTTTACCTGGTTGCTCAACATACTTTTCATTAGAAAGGCCATCTTCTTGAGAAAAAAGGAGCTATAAGCAAACAACTACAAGAACGCCAACCCAAACCACAAATGTTTTCAAAACCAACTGTAAGCAAGAGAGTTTCTACAGGCACATCAGCTCTTCAAGGGTACAATGCTAGTGAAACGTGAATGCCAAAACCAGTTTGTCAGCCATAATCTGGATTAAGAGTGAACTCCTTAATATCTAGAGGCAGATGGTTCAGATTACTCCAAAAAAATCATTAGATGCAGCTACCTACTTTTTATATTAATACCTTAAGCTAATAGTACACACACACACAAATCAATCACAGTGTGCAATAGCATTTTGATGACTTCAGTCTTGAAACTCTCACTTTCATAGAAATGAAAACATTCCCTGGAACACAACAGTTCTGAATTAAAAATCTAGTTGAATACATAGCCATAGTAAAATCGTAAAATTCAGGCTACTGAGCGGAAAACCCTTTTGAATTTACACAGTCAAGTAAGATTTGAAAACTGGAACTCTTCATTAAGCAAAAAATCCAACCATTTTTATTCATTAATATTTTATCACATTGGACAGAAAGCACACTGAATTATTCTTCTTCATCCATTTTTCATATGGTTGGTTTGTCTCACAGATGAATGGGGCATTACTGCTATCATTACTTTTTTTCCCCAAGAAAGCAATCAGAAAAAAAGCAAATCACATCTTCCTACTATTCATTCCTCTGGGTTTATTTCAACTCTTCTCTAGGCTGTCTCTTTGACTGGAGCTGTGTAGAATACCCAGTGTTTTTAATCTTAACTGTCAGTAAAGGAGAAATGAATCTGACTGATTCTATATGCTATAATACAGCCTTGATACTTTCCGTTTGTGGATCGCTTGTGTAGGTCCTCATCTTTCAAACTTTTATTCACATCATTAGCCTCACCAGGTCTATTCAGGTGAAGATTTGCAGGATCTGCTACCTAGATCATGGACTATTTTGGGAAACAAAATCATCCGCTAGGTCTCAAAAGTTCATGATTTTGGGTTTTGAGCATTTATCCCGCTACGACTGACTGCGCATGCCTTAATGAAACATTCTGTAATTTTGATTATCTAAATGGTTCTCCCAGCACTCTCATAATTTCACTGAGAGACGGGAGGATTCCAGTTTGCCTAATGCCTAAATCTGTATTAGAGTCTTTCTAATTAAAGCAGACCTGTTACTATTTAAAAAAAAGCAGCACAGGACCTTCTGTAATCCTGGATTATTACTGATTAAACAAGAAACTTTAAATTTCTTTTTGAAACAGAGTATCGCTCAGAAGCAAAAATTCCAAATCACAAAAAAACTACTTCAATATACTACAAATACCTAGAAAGCATTTTTCTTGTATCAAAACTGATTTTATAATCGCTGTGCACTTTCAGAACTATGCATGTTACAAGAATTGTGGGAAGAATCAGCTTTTTACATCTGACCAACTCTGACCTTGATTACCAAAACTGTATTGTACTTGCCCAAATGGCTAACAGAACTGAGATCATAGACATTAGACAGCTAATCCCAATTTAAGCAGAGAATGCTGAACTTGACCATGCATTAGTCTGAAGTTGAATGCATAAAAGTAAAAAACAAAAATCTGTTATCCAGCAAAAATTAAAAACTAAAAATCCAGCATTAAGTTTATGTATAAGGTATCACTGCTCCTACCTCAGAGATTATGTCAGAATGGGCCTGGCAAAGGCAGTCTGACTTTGTCATGCCCGGAGAATTCCCCGGTTCAGTCTGCCGCCTCTCTGCAGCACTCGAAGGGTGGGATGGCTGGCAGCGGCCCTTGTTTCCCATCCCTCTGCATTTTAGAGAAGGCTGTGCCTGTTCAGGGGAGCCGACTGCGAGCTAGTGTGGGCAGGTCAGCGGGAGCTTTGCAGGCTGCCAGTACCAGCAGAATGCACGACCCGTGTGACTGCTGTATCGCTGTGCGACTCATCTGGTGAGTCCTGTCCAGCTCTGCTCAGTGGTGCTTTTCCCAGCCTGAAGCAAAACAGAGATGGTTCTAACCTGCAACCCTTCTGCCTTCTACTAAAACCAAGACCTTGCTCCCTTTGCTGGCATTTGAAAAGTCCTGCAAACAGGCCTAATCTAGCACCTCTTTCAGAAGGAGCAGAGTCTTTGAACGAGCAGTCTGACTGCTGAGCATGTCCAGGGAGAAGCCACTGCTGGAGCACTCACCCAGCGTGCCAGGAGCTGCACACAGCCCCAGGCGGGTCTTGAATATCTCCAGAGAAGGAGACTCCACAACCTCCCTGGGCAGCCTGTTCCAGTGCTCCGTCACCCTCAGAGGGAAGAAGTTCCTCCTCATGTTCAGACGGAACTTCCTGTGCCTCAGTTTGTGCCCATTGTCCCCTTGTCCTTGTCCCCCCTTGCTAGCAGGCAACTCCAGGGAAGTGTACCGGCTAGACTTTGTGCTGTTGTTCTTTACTAAGCTTCCCTAAATCTGGGAATAAGTCTTGGCTGTACATTTTGATCCCTACAGAAGTGTTGCTAACACCACCTTCTGCCTAAAACAGATGCTTTCACAGAATCAACTGAGAGGCAAGAAAGCTGAAAGCAGGCTTGGGAAGGGTCTGCAGAGAACCTGAGAGGTCTTGCCCTCCAGGTCTTGAGAGACGTTTCAGGAACCTTCCTAACAGCAAAAGGCTTTCCAACGTTAAGATTCAAAACTGAAGACAACAAAAACTCCTTTAAACATTACTGGCCCTGTTAGCACTGGAAACTGCCAAGACACACGAGAGACTAATGACGAAACTTTGGAAGACACTACATAGCTAGCTGGTGAATTGCTCTCTTCACTGTGGGTTTAGATATTTATCACAAATCTATGTATACAAATAATGAATAAACACTCAGAGTGAAAACGAACCAATTGCTTACAGAGTGCCTAAAGCATCAGGTATTACGCACCTACCTTGGGCGTCAAGAAGGAGCAGTACCTCCAGAATAATTCCTGTTCCTGACAGGTGCTTTAACTACTGCCTATACTGACATTACAAACCACTTACTGCTTTTTGTTGATTACAGGGATCACAGGCTTAACGAAAACATACAGACAGCTGCTAATTAAGTGCTCACGTTGCCACTTCCTTTGCCTTAAATCAACATCCTTTCCCTCTAGCTTAAGTGAAATCAAAATTAAAGGCTCAGTTCCTGTTTATCTGATTGAACTGGGTGATATGAAAAAAGCCTGTGTTCCAGACCCAAAGAACACAGGCGTCTTCAACCCCAGAACAGAATTCAGAGACTCAAAACAGGAAAATCGGAAAGAGCAAAATCTAAAAGCCTGACAAAGAGGCCAGCACAAAAATGCTATAGGCAAGCAAGCATCCAAACTCCTAGCCTCTTCTAGAGACCGTTTTCCCAAAACACAGTCACAGCAGACAACTCCAACCAGAAGTATCAAAGCATTCTTTGAAAGGACCAAGACTCTCCCGCTGCCCTGCTACACTCCTCTAGAAGAGGCCTCTTCAACACAGGCAGAGCCTCAGCTGTGGAATGCCATTAACTCTCCAGGATCAGGTAGGACTGAACCCAGATCTCAAAGCGTTCAAACCCTCTGAACAACAGAGGGTAAAGAATGCTTCAAATCCACTTGCTTGGATTTTGTTGACATATAACAAATTAAAAGAAAAAAAGCTTACTAAAAATATGCATCTTTATTCAAATAAGGTTATCTCTGAACTCCAAGTGTCAATTTACATTAGTCAGAAACAAACAAATGAAAACGTCAGCCGTTTGAATTTAAAAAAAAAACAAAAAACAGTAGACAGTCTTCGGTGTTACAGTACTTGATGCATTGATAAATGTCAAATTTTCTTCAAACAGCAAGTTAGGTAATTTACAAACCATACTGTGAATTTTACTTTTTAAATATTCAGGTGTGACCATGTATTTAATATACCCTGACCAGTACAATGAGATTCTCTTGTCACCGCCAAATATTTGCTACTTATCATCCACACTTCAAACACAATTATTCGACTTGTTCTCCCCCATATCGTCAAAGTGGATTCCAAAGCATCTCCTCCTGTTCCTGAAATCTTACTTGGTAAGAATCAAACACGCTATCAGTGTTGAAAGAAACTTCTAGTAGCCAGCCATAACAGGAGGCTACACTGAGTGGCAAATATTCTTAAAAGTCTAAATTTGTTGCTATCACTTCAAGAACAGACAGGACAAAATCTGAGCTGGGCAACTGGGAGCTTTCCTTTGATCCAGTGAGTGATGAGGCAATTATGGAAGTTCCAAGGAGACATGACTGAAATGAAGAATTAAGCAAAGTTATCACTTTTTGGACGTTATGCTTTACACCTCCTGCTCCCTAATACAAAAGTCTCCTAGTTGCACATGGGAGATATGTCAGATCCATTAGCAGCATAAACACACAAGCTGAACCTCATAATGAAGATACAATTGCAGGTTCATGTTTTCCCCTAGACACCACCCCCAGCCTTCTCTTCTTTCTAACAAAAGACACAAAAGTCTGGGCTGCTCCAGCTTTAAAACAAAAGTTATGGTTGGATAAATTCACAGTACTAAAAATACAGGCTTCCTCCCATTGATACGTTAGAGCTGTTCCTCATTATGCCAGATATATGCACCTACTTATCAACATACAGTTGCTAGCCTTTCTGTGTAAAAAGTCTTACAAAGCCTGCTGTGAGAGAGGAAGTTCTGTTCAGGTGTTGCACTGATGCAGGAAGGCTTGCAACTGAAAGGAACAACACTCTGCATTTTCAGAACAATTTAAGAAAATATATTAAGTTTACTTAGAAGAGTCAGGGTTGTAACAGCTTAGACTCAAGGCACCTGTAAATATTTGCTGGTGTTGAAAGAACTGAATGGATAAATTCCTATGTGTTATTCTGGCTTATCTGAAAAGTTTTTTTCATTGATTTACCCTACTTATCCAGCAAGATTAGCTTGAGGCAGTATTTTCTCCAATTAGTACAGCAAAATCTTCTCAAATTTAGAAATTAATCTGTAAAGCTATACCACTTCCAGTATACTACATACTGTAGCTATGTAAATAGGTGTGTAGGTAGTATAACTTTATTGGTATAGCACAGATATCCACTTTTTGGACACTGTATTATAAGTAACAAAATATATTGCATAGATTTATCATTCCTCCAAACTGACAGGCACAATACTGAAGTGTTCTTCATTACAGTGAATTTGGCAGCATGTGTTGCACCCCAAGGGAGTAGACTGTAGGAATGCAGTAGTAGTGTGCTAGATTCCAGATAATCGGTATGTCTGAATCTGCAAAAGTTAACAGTTAGAAGTGAAAAATCCTGATGCATTTGTGCATTTTATAGAATTTTAAAAAAAAGAAAAAAGAAAACAAACCCCCTTATTCTAACTCCACACACAAACAATTCAAGGACAAAGTTACCACAGATATGTAAACAAGGCAAAATGAGTCCATTTCACATTCCTAATTTGGGCTATCCGCTTTGTTTCTTTCCCGAAGCAAATGTTCACATGATAAGCAGTATCAAAAATACATGTTCAGTCTCCTGCTTTTGATAGTAAAGCAGGAACTGACACACAAAACTGGTTCTATGATAGCTGCTAGATTAACAAACATGTCTGAAGCAACAGCTTTTGAAGAAATGGGTTAACGCTCAGTATCTCTAGTTTAGAATACTTGCCATGTCAAGATTTAAATCAAAGCATCTGTATTTGATACATGAAAGACAGCTTTATAGAAGACATATTCATACACTAAACATATCCTTAATAAAATCAGATTTGAAGAGGTATAAAGCAATGGTATCTTTGCTGAAAAAGTTTCACAAATCTCCAAACAAAATTACAGACAGACTTGAAACTACAAAAGAGAAATCAGTCCCACAGTATACTCGAAGAAACTACTTTATCATGTTTTCCCTCACTCCCTAAAACCAAAACCCAAAATAAGGAAATAAGCCTTTATTTGCTTGTTCTGTATAGCTTGTTTTCTCTATCAGGTATCAACAGCCAGACCATTAAAGGCCTTTCTTTGTGTCCACATGTTAAAAAGTGCTTAAATCCGTATTTCAAGAAGAGTTAGAATTAACTAAATAATTCTTAAACTGTTAATCCAAGTAGTAAAGAAATTAAATGTTTATAACAAATTTTTAACACCCACTCCCACCACCCAAGAGCAGTTGTTTGGGTTTTGTTTGTTTTGTTTGTTTGCTTTTGGTTTCTTTAAACTGATATGTCAGGACACTTAGTGGCAAGCTTTCTGCACAGATCATCCACCTACAGTTCTCATTACAAACAACCACAAAACCTGGGTGTTTCAATTCCCTCCTCTGGAATCTTAATAAAAGAAGAGGAATACGGCATTTGCCTTCCAGTATTTATGAGAAAGTTAGCTGAAAACATAGACCTAGATAGGGTCTGCAGTCTTCCACTATCTAGCATTTGCTCTGCTGCTCCCCAGTCTGTTTTTAACTTTAGCATTACCAGTTTAAATGAGAACTCATTTTGTTTAACAAAATGCAATAATTTACAATATTGAAATATATCAAACACTCAAATTTCCCTCATTTACAGAAGAGTATAATTTTCTGTGCATACATACTGCTGTTATGTACACACAAAAGGAACAGGTCATCAAAAGAACTTTTTGGCTGCTGCTTCTTGTTGACTCCTGAAAGAAAAAGCAGAGGAGAATTCATTAAGTACTCACAGTATAAAACTAGCTAACTGGTTTAAATAAATAAATATTTCATTTCTTCGGGGATTAAAAGATTCCATATCTTGCCAAAAGAGACTTAGGGAAATCAAATTTAAGTCGTACCACAAAAATAGGATAAATTTTTCTATTTACAAAGACATTGGTAGCATCACTACAGTTCCAGTTTTGCATCAGACATAGAAGCAAACAAAACATTCTGGCCAGAAGCCAGAAAAAGTGCAAGAACACAACCTGATTTTTAAAATACTTGAACTAAAATTTTCTAAAGCTTCTCAGTATCTGATTGGCCTAAAGATCATCACAGAAAAGGAAACACATACAACTAAGCAGTGAAAGAATTTACCTGAAATGGGATTTTCTTTGCCCTGTGGCACAGAACATATTTATTTTCCTAGTGGGTCAACCACACACAGATGCTAGAATTACATGGGCATCAAAAAGAACTAGAACGGACCAGCTCCTCATTTGTCTTAGAAGCCATCTTTGCATTTCATGGCATAACATGACACACATAAGAAAAGCACTCTCTCCATTTTGTAGAGAGGCAGACACATAATAAAAAGTTAGGGCTATCAGCTGCACTGGTCTTATATTAATACCAGTTCTCCTTCCACAGCGGTAGCAAACAGCATTTTCTCTTCAAAGGGCAATGCAGCTATTTTGGTCCCTACTCGTTATCCTGATTAGTGTGTGCGAGAAGCAAGAGTGAAAACTACGAAGCAAGTAAGTCCTTACTCTCAATAGGTTTTCCTTTCCATCAATGCAAATTTAATTTGAACATTATGACAGTACAAGGAGGAGGAAGACAACAGAGAAAACATGCCAAATAGTTTAAAGAAGGAAAAAAAAAAAACAGTCCATACACTATCAGTATCATGTGTAGGAGAGGGATGGATATGTATCATAAAAAAAAGTTCACCGAAGAATTTGTAAGATGGAATAAGCAGCTTGTAGGTACACATAGCAAAAAAACAAACCACAAAACCAAATTACATCAGATTTTAAGATAACAACTTCAGGAAGTCCAGCAGAGGACCATAAGGACGGTGGTCAAGAGCTGAAGTACATGCCAAAAGAGAAGAGAGGGAGGAAGTGGGCTTGTTCACCCTGGACAAAAGAAGGGGTCTAACAGCAGCTTTCTAATACCCACAACAAGAGGTTATGGTGGAGACAGGGACAGTTTCTTTACAGAGACACACACTATAAGAAAAAGACAGAATAGTCAAATTGAAACAGAGCAGGTTCCTACTAGGTATATGGTGGAGGCACAGGGAGAATATAACAAACTTCATTGTGATTATTAAACATTTCCAGTGGGGTCCCTAACAGTGGTAAATATTCCATTCTTCGAGGTTTTTAAGACCTGACCAGTCCAAACACGAAGCAACATGGTCTGAATTCAGTGTCAACCCTGCTTTGAGCAGAAGGTTGAACTAGAGACCCAAGGTCTCTTCCCCTCTGAATGATTGCTTGCTTTAAAGATTAACATAATCATAACATTACAACTGCACTTCCAGTCAGCAGTTCTAAAATCATTTGTCCTGTTGTCTTTAAAGAAAAACATACTTACCTATACATGATATAACCAATGAATAACACTGTTTGCACCGCTACAAATATGAAGAAGTGCACTGTAGATACGCATGATGGAAACGGTGGCAAGTCCGGACACTTCGATTTCTCACTAGATGGCTAAAACCCAAGAAACACAATATTTGAGAGCAAACAAGACATACCATCAAAGCACTGTTATATGCAAGAAACAAAACAAGGTATTTATGACATGATCTAAAAACTGGAACACAAGCAGAAAACCGACAGAAATGACATTACTCTGAAAAATCATAATCTTACTCCCCGTCTCACTTCCTTCTTTCACCTTTATGTTCTAACCCAGAAATCAAGAACCTTCTATGGGATCATATGCTAATTCAGCTTAATTTGTACTTAGGCTAGACTAAGGTGCTCCCGTGTGTGAATGCAGTCATCCTCCACACTTCGAGACCTTAAGCGGAGCCTGCCCTAGTGTCCCCTGATTAAAGCTCTCCCTTCTGTGCAGAAACAATAGAGCATCTCCTCTGTATAGAGCTGTCAAGTAGGGGGGAAAAACACACACAAAAAAAAGCACCCAGAAAATCTAATTGCTTGACCTTGTTTCCACAGGAAATTAGACTAAAAATCATGTTCTTTGTGCAAAACTTCTCATCAAGACACAGATCATGCAGTTAGGTCAAGCCAGTGCAGTTTTAGCGAAGCAGCTTAATGAAGGATTAATTGCTCCGTAAATTGCATGCTGGCTCATCCTAGCTTTTCACTAACAGCCAAATAAAGAAGTATTACAGCCATGCTTACACTACCAGCACATAAATTACCATATTTCGTTGTACTAAATGCTCAATGTCCCTCTTTACTACATGAAGGTGTTCTTTGATGTCATTGAAGTGCTGAGTCGTTTCATAGGCTCCTGCAGCAGAGCCAGGATGTTGAGCTCCACTGATCAACCTCAGAGTATCAGCCATGGAATTTCTGAAACAGGACAAACAACAAAACATCTTTCAGCACAGAACAGTTTTGCTACGAACAGCAGTTAATATGGACACCTTTTAGTCCATTAAAATTAATTTGAAATACACAGTTGCCCCAAAAGACAGAGAACATTTTTTCTAGCTTCCAAGAACACCTATCAATAAATAACTCCTCAATCAAACTATGATTTTAAAAAATATTTAATTCCGCAGACAGTTTCAGTTTGTACAGTGCACCATCTCCTGCAGTCATGCTGAAAACAAGACCAAGCGAATATTCTATTGCTAGACATCTGCTTTGCCTGATGGATGAAGTCTAAAACAGGTGTTTTATCTGAGGTTCTTGCCAAGGCTTTAGGATAAGCAGAGTTTAATGCAATCTTTGAAGAAAACCAAAAGCTGTTTGAAAAATAAATAAATAAAAGCAGTCACGTAAGAAATCGAAATACAGAAGAGGCTTTAGGGATAAGAAAAGATTTAGATACATCCTTGTTTCATGATTATCATTTATATGAGAAACTCATTTCCCATATGCATGGCCATAATACTTAATATTGTCTTCATGTGAATTCATTTTGCTTCAACAACAAATCAAATTAAATCTGTAAAAAGTTGAGGTTCCATAACTAATTCTGTTTGGAGATTAAGTATTTTTCTCTTATTGACTAGTTTACCTCAATCAATATGTTTATATAATTTTCCCCTACTGTGATGTCTCTTTTCAGTTGCAAAGAGGATTATTTTACAGCTAAAATATTTATCATGTGAATGTTAATCTCTTCACTATTAACAGAACAAACAATCAAAATGTATGTCTTTGTATTTCTTTTTAATTTACTTAAAACTTTACATTTTATTCAGATGAGAGCTTACTTCGATGCCTTCAAGGTAAAATCTCAACTCCTTCTACAGTGGTCAGCACTTTATCATAGAATCACAGAATGATTTGGGTTGAAAGGGACCATTAGAGATCATCTAGTCTAACGCCCCTGCCGTGGACAGGGACTTCTTTCACTAGATCAGGTTGCTCAGAGCCCCATCCAACCTGGCCTTGAACACTTTCAATTTTAACTTTCACATAAGAAAAAAAACAACACAGAAAACATGGCTTGAATACTATTCATTGAGTAAACTGACAACAACAACACATAATCGTATTTGTGTTATACGAAACGATATTACTGATTTTTAAATGGCTCATATTGATTGTGAAAACAGCAAGTTAAGCATCAAAACTTAAATGTTTACAAATAATCTTCATACAGATGCTGCCCATCTTTCACCTTTGCATCAGCTGCTCTTCATGCCATTAAAATTCAAAAAACCACAAAACTAAAAATAAATTTTTTTTAAAAAAAAGGTGAAAAGAGAAAACTAGTAAGGTACATATCTATTCAAAGGCACTATGACAACTCTCCAGAAGCACCCACTGCAAGCATAGCTATGCTACATTAGTGTTATAGCAGCTTTCGCTCCATTATAAGAACCATACAGCATGTTTAAACTACTTGAAGCAGCTACATACTAAGTCAAAGCCACACATTAAATCAATCGACACAATTATATCAAGTTGCCAATACACCACTTCAACAGAGGCATTTAGTAATTATAGTCGCTACTAAATGCTGGATTAACAATATACTTTTCTTCAAACTGAAGACTACCAGTTTTTCTTAAAAATATCACTTTAAGGCACAAATCAACTTAACATAGTAGACTACTAGTATTCTACGTACTTCCCACATAACAAAAAAATTCTTTTCACTTTCAATAAGAAAAAGATCCAAGAATTCGCCTTCTCTGTCATCTATGTAAAAGCTCACTCCCACTTCCAGCACATGTTAGAAGATCAGTCACTTTCCAGCGTTACATTTCCAGTTACTCCACGAAATGTACTGCAGTCTAGGTCGGACAGAGTTAGCCATGACTTCTGCAAAACTCTCAATGTCTACCTCACTAAGGTCATCACTGCAAAATTACCAAAAGGAATTATCAAAAATCAGCTGTTTGCTTCTGTAAGCCACTGCAAACAAAACTAATCAAAGCAGCTCTCACCTTCTCTCATTTCACATTTCTGGTTTGGAACTTATACATGAAAAACGAATGCATAAAACCCCTCATCTGTCCTAACTTAAATTATTATATATGTTATCCAGAAATTATTTTACATTTTTGTATTGTCATTGTATAATTGTTTAAATTCATTAATATTTACCTGTACTTTGAATTAGTGTTATAATAACCTATTTTAGAAGTAAGTTTTTCGCCCATGCAAATTCATGCAACCACCACCATGACCACCACCTAATAAATGCTGATAGTAATTCTGTCTATTCACACCCCTCACATTTTTTATCTTGCCCTGCTATTTTCAGTGCTAGAACACAAGTGTGACACTCCTTTTGGTCCTCCCCCTGCTCATAACACCATCCCTACGTAATCAACAGAAATCTGCACCCTCACCTTCCCCCAGACTGATCCACTGTTTGTTAAAAGCAAAATAACTTCCCTAAATAGACATGATCTGTATCAAATTTAATTTATATTCACTTTTGCATGAACAACACCATGCTGATAGTTTCTATTGTATGAACACACAAGATTCTCCTGTAATCAGACGATTAAGAAATCCACAAATCTTGACAATAAAATTACTTAGACAGTAAGTCCTTCTCCTCCGGGATGACCAGCCACGCAACAGCAGGCTGTTCATCTCTATCTATAAACAAAGCATTTCTTTAATCTAAGAAAAATATTAAGATGATGTTACGCAAACTCATACCTAATAAGTAGTCACTAAAAGGGCAGACTGCCAATGTTAACAAAAAAATTTAATTTGCTTGCAAGGTATAAAGATTTGTCAAGAATATTAACATAAAAGCTTTCATGGAAGAACAAGTGCAAAAATGGAAGCGCTCTAATCTTCATTCGACAAAAAACTGACCTACTTAGATAAATCACAAGAGCTGCCCTTGAACTAATACAGGAAAAAACCCAGAACTGCTTCCATACTACAGCATGAAGTTGTAGGAATTGTTAATCTCCTTTTTTTAAGCCCAAGGTAAGGAACGTTTTAACTACTACAAATGAAGAGTTAAAGCAACCTAAAGACACTCCTGCTAAAGACAGCAATTTAGAAACATCTTAGAAGCAGTACACAGACATCCCTATCAAACAGGAATTTTCTAAATTTCATTTTGGTAGTGTAGTACCTTCAAGGTAAGATTTTTACTTCATTTGGTAACATAGCTTGAAAAGGCACAGCAACCTCTCAATCAATTTTAAAAAACTGCATCTTAAAAAGCAAAATTATTAATCACTTGGGAACTTGCAAGCATCCCTGCAAATACTGAAGTTTCCTGAGAAAGTTAACTGGCAGAAAGTCCTCTGACAAAAAACCAACCCCCCCCTCCCCAGGAGCCTTCATGCAGTACAGTTAGATTCCAGTAAGTTACCCAAGACTGCCACACAACTGAATATATTCAGGTCAAGAAACCAAGGCTGTAACTGCCAAAGTCTCCTTTAATATGCTACAGAAGACACTGACATACCAGCTGATAGGCCTGGTTTGTACACAGTAAAATAAAAATTAGACCATAAAATATTCACACCCTTCAAATAACAAAAGTATTTTTTAAGTAAGAGCATGCAGCCCATTGCATAAAGAACAAACAAGCACTTCTATCACAGCAGAGTTTCAAAATGTTTTCCCATTTTTCTCTAACCTACAAGAAACGGAGACAAGATTACTAAAATGGTCTACACAACACACCGGCACAGGAAAAAAACCAACACATTTCTGTCTTCACTACACAATGTAAGCGACAGTAATTTAATATTAGAGTGCTTTTCTTTTTTCCTTTATTCTTTAGTGCTGCATGACAGTATGTCTTAGCACCTAACAAACCAAGGAATTTTTAGCCACAGCTGAGTCTCCAGTATCTCCAAGCATGGAGACTGCAAAACCTTTCTGGGGGACCAACCTACTCCAGTGTTCAACTACCCTGACAAGTTTTTTTCTTACGTCTACACAGAAATTCGTTCAGTTTGTGACCATTGCCCTTCATACCCATGCAGTTCAAGAAAGAGGAGAAGCTACTGGAGAGAGTCCAGAGAAGGGCTACGAGGATGAGGAGGGGACTGGAGCATCTCTCCTATGAGGAGAGGATGAGGGAGCTGGGATTGTTCAGCCTGAAGAAGAGAAGGCTGAGAGGGGACCTTAGAAATGCCTCAAAATATCTGCGGGGTGGGTGTCAGGAGGATGGGGTCAGACTCTTTCCAGTGGTGCCCAGCGACAGGACAAGGGGCAATGGGCACAAACTGAAGCACAGGAAGTTCCAGCTGAACATGAGGAAGAACTTCTTCCCTCTGAGGGTGACGGAGCACTGGAACAGGCTGCCCAGGGAGGTTGTGGAGTCTTCTTCTCTGGAGATATTCAAGCCCCGCCTGGACAAGGTCCTGTGCAGCCTGCTCTAGGTGACCCTGCTTCAGCAGGTGGGTTGGACTAGATGACCCACAGAGGTCCCTTCCAACCCCTAACATTCTGTGATTCTGTCATTGGGTACCAGTGAGAAGAGTCTGGTTCACTCTCTATCACCCCCACCACCTCCAATATCAGGTATTTACACCCACTGATAAGTTGCCCTCAAGCCTTTTCTCCATTTCCCTCAGCCTCTCGTTGTGTAACAAATGTTCCAACCCCTTCACCATTTTCATGATCCATCACTTGCCTCCCTCCAGTATGTCCACGTTGCTCTTGTACTGGGGTGCCCAGGCCTGGACCCAGGACTCCAGATGTTGTGTCAGCAGTGCTGAACAGAGAGGGACAATCATCTCCCTTGACCCACCCGCAATACTCTGTACGAAACAGCCTGGAATGCTGCTGGGGCTTTCCTGTATGAGTGTGTTGCTGTCCACGGTTCAACTTCTTGTCTACCAGGATTCCAAAACTCTTTCCTGCAGAACTGCTTTCCAGCTGATTAATCCCCTGGCTGTGCTGATGGATGGAGTTACTCCTTGACAGGTGCAGGACTGTGGAAACCGCACTTTTTTGTCACCTTATTTTTCAAAGTTCAGGCCAAGAGAGGACATTAAACATTTTCCAGATCTGGCCCTTGTTTCAACTGCCATCAAGCAGCAATGCCTAGCCCTGCTCCTACTGATAAACAAGATCAATTTACAATGGAAATGGGGGGCAGGGGGGAGGCCTATCCAAGGCTTATACACACCATTATGGAGCTCTAATCAATATATGAGCTTTAGACAGTCATAGCAAAATCAGGGAAAAACCCCAAAGTCAAAATATATGTCTACATTGAAGAAAAAAGTGAACTACTTTTAAAAAAGCAAAAATAATAATTAGAAGAATAAGCAATAAATCTTAATAACTCTTAACTACATGTGTATTTTCATTTGTACAGAACTACTTCTCAGAATTACTTACAAGCCTTTATAGGTTGTTTACACTAAACAAAACCTCAAATATACCTCATATAATATTATCCAAGTACAATATTATAGATTTTATTCATCATATTATATAATAATAAACTCACATAATCATTATATCAGGAGTAGACTGAATATACGGACAAGATACTCCGATATACTTTTATTTTTAATAGGTTCACTAGCTATAAAAGACATTTATGCTCATGTAGTTATCAATACTCCAAAATCAGAGTAACAAATTTCCATGAGGAAGCAGGTTATCACATTAGCAGAAATCGATTGTTTTTAGAGGGACTGGACTTATCCGTTGAAGTGGAATCTCATGATAAAGACTATGGAAATTAGGGGGCTTAGTGACCCTAGAGACATGAACTTACTTTAGTATAGAAATTAAATGTATGTAGAGAGTCATCACTAAGGAACTGAAACAGAAATTTTGAGTTTGTCAATATTCTCCTACTGAAATAATAAATAGGATTTAAAAGGTGGAAAATAATATAACATTCAAAACACAGCCTTAATATTTAGAAAGCATTTACCTTATTTCATTTACTTGTCTAATGACCTCTTCTTGAGTTTTCACAACTGTCTCAATCTCTTGCTGGGAAACCTGGCGGGGGTTAAGGGAGAAGAAAAAGATCAATATATCTTGGAAAAAGCAAATTCATCATGCCGCTGAAATTAGGCTGAGCTATCAATCACGGTGTATTTTTTTTTTATTATTATTATTTACCTGTCCTTGTTGACCTGGAAAAGCAGCTGCTCTTTTAGCAATCTCATCTGTGACTGCAGAGACGTATCTCCTCTGCTCATCCACAATCATGTCCAATTGCCTATTAAGCTGTTTGATTTCAAGATGAATTCGATTCTGCCCCTCAAAGATTTGCCTCAGTTCACGATCACTTACAGTTTCAAAAAGATCATCCGCTAATAAGAAAAAAGCACAGGTAGTTCTTATGTATATGCATGGCTCATAAATTGCATTGTATTGTTTTTCCTCGTTCCCTTAAAGTTTCCACATGGCTACACTTTTTCCCCATAATTTCATACATTTGGTGTTTATTTATCATCATTGCCACAGCAAGGGATACCTAAACGGGATCAGAACAACTGAACGGAGATAATCACACATTCAAACTCAGACTCCATCTTATAGTTACTACTTCAATACCTGGGTATGTGCAACATAAAACAGAAAGAGGAGGCTCATATTAATAGGAGGCAGCCATCTCTGCATAAGCTAGCATTGTATTACCAATTATCCTTCAGAAAAGATTTGCAGGTATCAAGTAACAGCTACTTTTTTGAAAAAGTAAACTTTAAAAAGTAGCTTGAAATAGAGAAGCGTCTATACATTTTGAGTGAGTTCCTCCGCAGCTTCAACAACATCAGAAAGAAGAAGGTCCAAAAGACTCTATGGCAAAAAGATTGTTTCTTATCAATGGAAGGCTAGACAATATTTCAAAAATACAGATGAAGTTAAAATGGTGTAGGACCATTAGAACAGTCATAACTTATCACTGTGCAAAAAAACTGACAACCTGAAATTTCAGATACAGATGCCTGAAGTACATTCCTGATACATGTACATTCATACACAGTTAATTCAGTCCACAAAAGAAAGAAATAGACTGGCTTCCATTATATTTTTAAATAAGAAGATACTTTTTTTGCCTGGCTCTAAAAATAAACAAATAAAAATTAAAAATCAACAATTAAAAAAACAACCCAAGCAAACAAACAAAACCCCTACCATGTTCCATACCAGAACAATCACAGTCAAAGCACCTTGGCTAAACGTTCAAAAAAAGTGGGCATGAGTCATTACTGTAATTTTCCCAAATTAAATATCATTTGAAATCAGTGGAAAAGTCTGTTCAGTCCAAACTATCTTTAAACCAATCCTTGCTGAGAGAGGCAGACACGTGGTATCATTAGTGGAAAGGGCCAATTCTGCCTTACCAAGCCAAACTCAAAATTTCTTATCAATAGCTTAAACTGTAAAAATAAAGGCCAGAGTTTTTAACAATATCAAGCTGGAAATTTGGTTATTAGCCAACCCAAATATCAACACTGAATGCCAGCTAATGCTGTGGTGCTGAAACCGACAGAACTCAACACATCCAACACTGGGCAAGCATTAAAAAGCTCTTCCAAGTAAGCACACGTTCCGGCACATCCACTAGTCCATCTTTAACATAAAGATGTTATCCATAAAACAAGATAAGAAAAAAAGTTTGTTATGAATGTGCAGAAACAGCATAAAAAGATGACCTTTCAAATAACCAAAAAGGTCATGCTTCCCTGATCATCACTTAACAGCAGGATGCGGGACCTTCCATCCCTTCTACTGTTCCATACAGATTCTCACCGTTCCTGTCATGTTTCCATTCATTTGCTTTGTTCTCAACCCAGACATGACAAAAGACACTTTATATTTCAGAAAACACTTTACAAATAAAGTAAATAACATCAGTAGGAGCTTAGAAACATCAGTCAGCGTATCAGGCCCTAGTTGTGAATATGCTGGAAAGCACAAGTTTTCCTTGACAACTGAAAAATCACTCAAACAACTTGCCTGGCTGCCCTTGCACATCAGGATGTTCCTTTTGAAATTCTTCTTTCTTTTTATCCAATTCTTGTTGAAAGTGTTCAAATTCTTCTTGATACTTCTCTTTATCTTGCTGAGGAATTTCTGCATCACTCTCCAGCAAAGCTGTTCAGATTTCAGATTTGAAAACATAACATAATTAGTGGAGCACATTAATACATTGAGTTGAATTGAGAAACCAGACATTCTTATGGAGACCCATAGCTTTTTCTCCCCGATACATGCATACTTTCTGTGACTAAAAAGATATCAAGTTTTACAACAACAGACCGTTTAGCAATACAGAAGTATTCTAGAGGCATGGAAAGCTGAACAGATTATTTGTCCACTTTCCAAACAAAGTGCACCTTTCAGTTTGTTTTCTCTGCATGTTTTGATTTAACATCAGGCATTTTGTTGATTCAGTGTTGCTTCAAGAACCCTGGTCTTGAAAACAATTAAAATATAACTGAAACATTGCAGTATTAGTCTAATTTTTCTAAAACAGATGACAGCAGAGCTACGTGCCAAAATCCTGAAACAGGAATGCTAAGTATGACATCAGAGGAAATGCCATAATCTGGTGCTACATACAAAACATATACAATAACATATTTTACTAATTATGCGTGAAGATGCTTACTACTTCCTTCCCAGGCTCAGTCAACTGGAAGGTCAGAAAAGACAGGACATCATGATCATCTGTATTCAACAAACCAAACAAAAACACCACTGTTAGTTGCTACTGCTACATGTTACAAATCCTGGTACTTCCCAAGTCAACCTTCCACTTGCAAAGGGTCTGCAGGCAACAGCACCCTCCTGAAGTCCTCCCAGGAGTTTATGCGGTGGGGAATGAGACTGCACAACGTCTTGGTCAGAATAAACTGAAACTTATTCTGCTCCAGGCAGGAAAAGGCCTAGGCACATCAGTAATTTAGGAATGGGACAGGATTAATTACATCATCAGGGTCAAAAATTGGTATAATAGATCAACACTAGCACTAAAAAAAAACCCAAAAACCCAAACCCCTCTTGCAAACCCCGCAAGTCTCCACACCATTTGTCACAATTTTTAACATTTGCTACCTGCAAGTCCCCCTGTTGCTGCAGATATTCCAAAATATCCTTGTGATGGCAACACCATGTCTTCCACTTTCGCACAAAATTCATAGTCTTCTTTATCCGGAGTAAAGCCATTATTAATTAATACCTAAAAGGATAAATGCTTACAATTTTTACCACATAAATCTATTTGCATTAATTGCTTTGTCAGTTTACAGTAACGGTCACAAATACAACTTATCAGGTAATTCAGCAGCTCATACTAGGAATCAAAAACTATTTATTTTCTGAAAAACACTTTTCACAAAGAAAATGCATAAGCCTTCTATTTTAAAAAGGAAAAAAAGGCCTGATTTGAAGTTCAGTATGAACAAAACTCAGCATTTTCTATTCATCTCCTAACAGGATACACCACATAGAATCCCAACACATACAAAAATGCATTCATTTCAGTTATAAGAAGCAGCAAGACAAATTAGCATGTGGAAAGGAACGCAAGTGGGAAAGGGATACCACCAGGAGAGACGAAGGTAAGCCAAGGGATGGCACAGCACCACCTGAGAGTGCTAATGGTAGCAATTACACTGTTCCAGGGAGCACCGACAGTTTAGGAGCACATCTGAAATGCTTGTACACCACCACACGCAGTATAATAAACAAACAAGACAAACTGGAAGCACTGGTCCACTCCCACAGCTACAATGTCACTGGTATTAGCGAGACTCGGTGAAACGAGCCCCACAGTGGGGGTGCTAGGATGGAGAGCTGCAGGATGGATAGGCAGGGCAGGTGAAGTGGAGGCACTGCACTGATCGTAATGGAGAGGTCTGATTGTACAGCCCTTACAGTTAGAGACAATGTGGTTGACAGCCTCTGGGTGAGGGTTAGTGGGGTGGAAAACAAAGCAGATGTCATTGTGCGCGTCCACTATTGAGCATCCAGCCAGGATGACAGCACTAACAAGTCATTCTATAGGCAATTAGGAGAAACCTCTGGATCAGCAGTCCTTGTCTTTATGAGAGATTTCAACTTCCCAGACATCAACTGGGAAGAGCACACTGCTGTGACAAGCAAGTCTGGGAAATTCCTGAATGTGATTTCTTGTCACAAGTACTCAGTGAGCCAGCTAGGAAAGATGCCCTTCCAGACTTTGTTGTGAATAGAGGACTCCTCACAGGAGGTGTGATGGTAGGTGGCTGTTTTGGCCACAGTGATCACAAAATGGTAGACTGAAAAATTCTTGGTGTAATGAGAAAAAAGGTCAGCAGAGTTGCTATACTGGATTTCAAGAGAGCAAACTTTAAGCGGCTCAGGGAGCTAGTTACCAACGTCCCCTGAGAAACAGCTTTTGAGGACTTAAGGGTCCGTGAGTGTTGGTCAGTTTTAAGAACCTCCTCCCCCCCAGAAACCTTGCACAGGAGCAGGCAATCTGATTGTGTTGAAAATCAAGCAAGTGGGGCACATGACCAGCTTGGCTGAACAGGGAACTCCTCGTGGAACTCAAGAGGGAACAGAAATTGTATGATCTCTGGAAGCAAGGTCAGGCTTCACAGGAAGATTACAGGGCTGTGGTTCGCATATGCAGGGAGAAGACACAAAAGGCCAAAGCTCAACCAGAGTTGAAACTGGCCAGTGTTGTGTCAGACTTTTTCCTTAACTTACTTTTCTAAGTGAGTTAAGGAAACCACTGGACCAATACTTGTTGAAGATGGTCACCTGACAAATACGGATGAAGACAAGACAGAGGCATTCAACTCTCTGTGCCTTAGTCTGTACTAACACTGACAGACCTTGGGCTGCCCTGTCCACTGAGTTGGAGGACCTCAGCTGTGGAAGCAGTGACTTCCCATTTGTGGACACTGAAATTGTAAGGGACCAGTTGTATCAGCTGAGTGTTCATAAATCCATGGGGCTGGATGGGATTCGTCTCAGAGCACCAAAGGAGCTGGCAGATGTTATAGCAGGACGCCTCTCAATTGTCTACCAAAGGTCTTGGGAGTCTGGGGAGGTCCCCTCTGACTTAAAAGCTAGCTAATATTACTCCAATTTACAACAGGCACATGAGCGAAGATCCAGGAAACTATGGACCTGTTAGTCTAACCTCAGCGCCTAGAAAAATTACGAAAATCATACTGGGTGCTACTGAAAGGCATCTAAAGAACAATGCAGTCGTCAGGCACAGTCAAACACGGGTTCACAAAGGGAAAGTCTCATCTAACTAATTTGATATCCTACTCTAAGGTGACCCACACAGTGAATGAAGGGGAGTGGTGGATGTAGTTCTGGATTTCAGTAAGGCTTTTGATACTGTCTCTCACAGTATCCTTCTGGACAAGCTGACCAACTGTGCGATGAGGAGGTTCACAGTGCACTGGATGAAGAACTGGCTGGATAGCAGGGCTCTAACGGCTGCAGTGAATGGGGCTACACCTGGTTGGCAACAGGTCACCAGCAGTGCTCCTCGGGGCTCAATCCTAGGGCCAGTGCTGTCCAACATTTTTATCAATGATCTGGATGCAGGAGTTGAATGCACCCTTAGCAAGTTTGCTGATGAGACTAAACTGGAAGGTGCTGTTGACTTAAGGGGCAAGAGGCCTGGCAGAGGGATCTAGACAGACTGGAGTATTGTGCAATCATCAATGGCATGAAATTTAACAAGAACAAATGCTGGATCCCGCACTTGGGATGAAATAATGCCAGACACAAGTATAAACTGCAAAAGGAGTAGCTGGGAATCAGCTCTGCAGAAAGCGATCTGAGGGTGCTGGTTGATGGGAGGCTCAATACGAGTCAGCAGTGTGCCCCGACAGCCAAGAGGGCAAACTGCATCCTGGGATGCATTAAACGTAGTGTAACCAGCTGGTCAAGAGAGGTGATCACCGCGCTGTGTTCAGCGTTGGTGTGGCCTCACCCTGAGTGCTGTGAGCATTACAATTTTACAAAGGATGTTAAGGTACCTGAATGCAGAGAAGGGCAACAAAGCTGGTGACAGGACTGGAAGGCATGTCCTATGGGGAGCAGCTGAGGGCTCTGGGTTTATCTTGTTTGGAGAAAAGGAGACTGAGGCACAACCTCATTGCTCTCTGCAGCTTCCTGAGGAATGGATGTGCAGAGTGAGGTGTTGAGCTCTTCTCCGTGGGATACAGGACAGGACGCCTGGGAACAGCTCAAAGCTGTGCCAGGAGAGGTTCAGATGGGACATTAGGAAGCATTTTTTTTTACAGAAAGGGTGGTCAAACCCTGGAACAGGCTTGCTGGAGAGGCAATCAACAGCCCACGCCTGGCAGTGTTTAAGAGGCATTTGGACAACACCCTTAGCAGCATGCTTTAGCTTTTGGTCAGCCTGGAATCGGTCAGGCAGTTGGACTAGATGATCATTGTAGGTCCCTTCCACACGAATTATTCTATTCTAAAACTGATTATGGCGTAACAGTATCAACTCTGGTTCAAGAAATCCCTGACTCGGAGATCATTAAAGGCCAGTCTATCAGAAGTATACATCCCAATAAGGTTCTGGGCAACACAAATTTTCGGTCTCATGACTCTAGAAGAGACATCCCTTACTGTTCGTAGGTTGATTCTAAGCTTAGAGAGATTTTCTCTTCCTCCACAGATGCATTTGCAGAACTGCTAAGGTTAGCAGCAACATTTGGGCCAGAGGAGTTCCTAGATAAGGCATCAGGGACGAGGTGCATTCAAGAAGAGAGAGTAGCCTTGGAGTATGAAATTTAATCTTCATTCAAGAGTAACAGATAGCTTTTACCATTACAACACTTACAACACAGTACAAGGTCCACCTCCTTTCAGGTGCACTGATGTTTACTTTTAGAGAAACTTTTACTACAGAATGACAGCTGTGTGTTTTATGGCTAATACCTATTAATAGTACCTTTTCAGAATAAATCATAAGCCAAGAAACACACACTTCATAGCTGTCACAACCCAGGACCACATTAGTATCTTTCTCTCCTTATCTAGCAGGAATTCACAGTAATCTGAATAATATTTAAGAAGTCTTGAAGACTCCCTTATACCAGTGGTTTTCTATCTTCTTTAATCTTCAAAGCCTTACTATTTCTTGGAGGTGGGAAGACTCAAATAGCAAATTTGAATCTCCTGTCAAAGAGCGAACTTCAGTTTTTTAGTCACATTTCAAGAACCTCTTACAATCAGCTACAAAACCATCTGCAGCTCTCAGATCAGCTTGAGAAATACCGTTCAAGTTAAGGAGCTGCTCAACCACTGGAAGCTGAGGAACAGATGCTGGCTTTGGCACACCCCTACAGGCAAGTCAACAGCAAGAGAAGGGTCTGAGCACGTTACGAGTACGTCAGCATGACTGACTCTTAAATAACATCAGAAAAATCAGCAATAGCTGCTGAGTCAGCTCAGGAAACTACAGATGCACAAAAGTAAGACAGAAGAACTAGTCTAGCATTTGAACACACTCCACCTTCTTCCAACTTCTGCTACCAAGCTCAACATTTTCAAGAATATTGGAATGAACATATGAGGTCTCTGGGTTTTCAAATTGTTGCAACAATCTCACACTTAAAAAGCTAAGAAATACGAGTAATTTTGTTATTGCAGAGTACTTACAGTCAACGTTTTTAGGTAGTATGTTATCTTTACTCGAACAGGATAGGGCTTGTTACGAAAGTCCCTCTGACAGAATGCCAATGCTTGCGTGGAACCATCACTGTGCAAGAAGACAACTTGCATAAAACTATATCTTATGACTTATCAGCTAAGACAAAAAAAGCATCAATGTATCACTAAGCAACATTGTGATAACTTTTCCAATATGCAAGTTTTTCAAAAGCTGTCCCACAGCTACACTGAGCTTTTCTGCATTCTGGGATCAACAGTACTGGATGCTTTACACAGGACAAAATACAGACAGAATGCAGTAACCTGTTTGCTTCTAAGACACATTCCCACAGCCGTGAACTGAGATGGAAATAAGCTATAGTCCGGACTGCACCACCCCAACTAGACACCTCTTTTCTCAGAGAATCCCATGAGGTATCAATTGTGTTTTTGACAATAAACAGTCAGAAATCAAAATAAAACAATTAATTTCAGTAACAGCTAATTAGTCACTTTTGTCAGTTATTAGCTATGTGTGGAAGATATCGCTACGTAATGAAGAGGTAAAAAGTCTGTACCTCCATTTATCCGAGTTCACCTATCCCAAAGGGCATATGCCATTTAAACACCCATCAGTTGCCAATTTCTCTGCTGTTATTGCCAAAACAGTATTTTAACAAACAGAAAAACTCAAATGCAAAGGAAAAAAGTTTCATATGAAAGAAACCTTTATGTTTCTCAAAGAGTTTCATGCTACATTTCATCATCCAAAACAAACATTAACACCGAAAAGAAACTTACTTCTGATGGTCATACAGAAGTTTTCCATTGTTGCCTACAACAATCACTCCAGGATTGTTTTTCTAGAAAAAGAAATAGCAAACAAATAGAATAATTTGAAGTGAAACATAAGTAACATCCCTGATAGTCATTTTTGCTTTTGTAATTCTGAAGTACAGAAAGAATAAATACATCTGTGGTGTACCTGTAGTGTGATGGCTTTAGGTGCTTTATCACAGAAAGGCTGAGTAAGCACTATGTCATGCTGCACGCTTTGCAAAAGACTGCTACATTCTTTGCATAGTTAGGGGTGAAAAAAACCCCACACAAGTTAAGTTCCTGAATATACTACCAATTACCATCACTTCACAAATACAGAAATATAAAAGACACAGATAGGAGAAATTCATATGTAGTGAAGATACAGATCATAAAACTAACAGATAACTTAATACATCCAACTTTGGATACGTAATACTGGGAAAAACATCCAAACACACACTATGTTGACACCCTACTGACCTTGTCACAATCATTAGAAAAACCTCAGGAGCTATCTGTCAGAGACTAAACAAAGTCTGTTGAATACATCCCCAGTTATTTAAATTGCTAGGAGACGAGAACAAGCTCAAATGATAACGGCAGAACAGATTTACAGCGCTACTCCAGTTGCCTCCAGGAGTTTATGAAGTGAACTCCAGCTTTCACAGGAGTACAAGCTTTCAGAGTTAATCTCCCTTCCCCCTTCAACATTTCAATTCATCATCTCCTAAAGTGCACTGGTTTTGGCTGGAATAGAGTTACATTTCTTCATAGTAGCTTGTACGCGGCTTTTCGGGGGATTTATGATGAATCAGAAGCAGGATGCTTTGGGTTGGCAGTACTAGATATAGTCTACCTCTGGATGCTAGTATATTAGGCTGAGGACCAGTTACAGCAGCAAACATCTTCCAGCAACAAGGGGAATTTCTCCATACTGAGACTGAAGAAAGCAACAAGTTGTCATTAAAAAAAGTCTTACAAACTCCAGTATTTAAGACACATCAGACCAATACAGGCATGGTGAAGATTTCTGTTTTGACTAAAAGTGACACATCATCACTTCCTGAATAATGGTTTCACATCACACTGAACTTCTCATGATCAGAGTCCCAGCGCAATCAAAGTTCTGGCGAACAGTGCTGTCCACATGCAATTTTTGTTAGATGGCATCTTCAGCCAGCTGAACTATGCCAGTGTCCATACTCACGCCACAAGTCAGAAAAAAAAGGGGAAAAAAAAAAAAGATTTAAAAATTGTTAACAAGTTGAACAACACTCTATGTCTTGTCTTTGAAGATCAGAAACACAAATATCACCTTCATTCTTACAAATGTCACCTTCATTCCTTCAACTTTTACATATCATACCTACAAAAATATACCTAAAACATCTAAAAACAAGCCAAAGTAGTACAGGAAAAGAAAAAAAAAAAAGCAAAGCAGATGTACTACGCATTGTTCAAGTTCCCCAGGATCATTCTGGACTGGAAAACTGGAAATCCAAACCAGCAACTGTCACCCCCATCTGCTACAGAATTTTTGATGCTGAACTAGTCAAGAGATTTGTTCCAAGAAAAAGAGCATCTCTGAAGACAGACACAGAAATTTGTGCTTCCACAGTGTCATATTTTGGTACAACGTGCCTCTTCCAAAGCACACATTTTCAGATACATCAACATTTCAAACTGTGCATGAACATTCCACATATCAGCTTATACAAAGGTACACGGCATTTTCCCTCCAAACCTAAGACATGAACCAATATTCAGTGGCAATTCATTATGTGTTATGCTTCAATTTTCAAGCAAAAAAAAAAAAAGGTGTGAAAAAGCCTAGTAAAAACTCTGTAAGGGAAAATTGACTATTTTAATTTATCCTAAGTGAAGGGGTGGGGAAGAGTAGGAAAATACCCTTTTTTTTCCCCCCCACAAAGTTGTATGTACAAAACAGGTGGGAAATTAATTTATAATCTTTGCTAGAAGTTTGCTTCTGACTAACCTTTCCATCATTGTCAAATGAATCGAAGAAAATTCCAACACCGTTCCATTTATCAGCTGCCCCGAAAACAGGACCTTCCAAGCCTTGCTCTTCTGTAAACCAGACTGCCTATCACACAAAGCAAGTAAGAGTCACAAGTCAAGATCCACTTTTTACAGCATGTCTACTTTTTTTTTCAGTTAAAAAATTCTTCATACCAATCCGTCAGCTCCAATGCGGCCTCTTCCTGTAACTCGAAAGGTCACTTCAACTTCCCAATATTCAAATATTGACTTGTTTTTTGTCCACACTGATCCTCTTTGGCTTTTCAAAGATGTTGTTATACGAATCTGATCTGCACTCGGTATGGCATCTAGAAAGGAAAGGAACCGCCAAAGAATATATGAAAGACAAAGTATTGCAAGTTCTTAACTGGCCAATTAACAAATCTTCCAAACTCATAAAATTTTCTGGTCTCCTCAACTAGGGAACAGCTTTCAAAATAACTTTTTAGTGGAGTATTGAACCACTTGAGAGTAGTGGAAAAAAAAACAAAATACACCCCCACACCTTTACTTGCAACAACTTGACTACTACTGCTTTACAGTAGACTTAATCACCTTTCACTTCGGGCCACAACATACAACTTAAGTAGAACAACAATGTTGCTGTTAAGATATGTATTAATTAATTAAAAAAAAAATCACATTTAGTTTTCTGCTGTATCCCACGTGACTCTTCACAAATCAGAGATTTCTGCTCTGCTTTTTAAAAAACAAAGTCGTAGTTTTCTGTTTAATAGTTTAAAAGAATAATAGGCACAAATTTAGAGAGAGATTCACTGGCTTGTATAAATAACATTTATTTTTGTGATTATCTGCTTAAAAAAGCAGGAAAAAAGCTCAGCTATGGACAGTTTCCTTCACGTCACGTGTAACACAATGTCAAATAAGAGTAAAAAATTAACACTCTTGAATTAACCAATATAAACCAAAATCCGCCAAAACACAGAAGCCCAGAAGTTACCGCGGAGCAGCCTCGCGTTCGGCAGACGCCGCGACGCCCGCGGGAGGGGACGCTCACGGAGGAGCAGGCGC